AGCACAAGCCGCTGGACCTTGGAATTACCGTCTCTGTTGTGTGCACAAGCCAGCGGGTAGATGACTGCAGAGGAAGGTGGGAATGTAGATTCAGAATTCAGAAGACCCTGGGCTAAAAATGTGGCTTTAGGTGTCATCTGCATAATAGTGCTGTGGTCGGCTAAGACAGAGCATGAAATCTCTGAAGGTAGGAAAAGAATGAGAATAGACAAAAGATCCTTAGAAAACATCAAAGTTGAGGCAACAAAAGGAGGAAGAGGAATCAGAGAAGACAGAGGGAGAGTGGTAAAAGAAGGATACTAACACCCCGAAGTGTGCAGTCATATCACTGAGCTCAAGGGAATGGAAGGTTCCAGAAACCAGCTGACTTGGTGAGCCCTCAGAGAAGCCAGGAAGAATAAAGCTACTTGGATCTGTTGATGAGACGATTGTCAGGTTCAAGAATAGGCTCACTAGAAGGCTAGGGGGAGGGCTGTAATGGTAAGAAGTGAGCGAGTCGTGGTGGACAGAGGCAGCAGGGATGGCCTTACGTGGTCAAGACTGACAGCAAGGAGGAAAGAGAAGACAGCAGTGTGGAGGGGTAAGGTTTGAAGTTAAAGAGGCACCAGTGAAATCTCTTTTAGACAGGGATGAAGGAGCCATTGAGGGGGGAAGTGAAAATAGAGCAGTAATGCTGAGTAATAGCAGCAAAAATCTTTCAGGGGCAGAAACCACAGCAGATGAGACCCTAAACTGTTTTCCAACCTTATCATAAAGCAAACCAGAATGCATGGAAGTGCTATTTTCAGTGATTCCCAAGCAGTGATTTTCTTAGAGAATGAGGACCTGTGGAACAGAGTTTTTTCCCTCCTTTTCTGAAGAAAGCATAAATTTAATTCATGTACCCCAGGACTTAGGGGCAAAATGGCTCTCTTAATAGGTTGCCTTTGAACAGGAAAATATCCTCCATAGAAGAGGAGAGGAAATGCTGATAATGAATCTGGGTGGTATAATATAAGCATTTTCTTGCGGTTAGTGCTATCTGCAGATCGCATTGATTATAAATCTTACATATGAAGGAAGGGGGCACTTTGAGCCTGTTTTCCCAAAAACAATGGTCAAAGGCACTTAAGTGCATAACATTACTCAAATGGTATTTCACTTGCTCTACATGAGGCTAAACATTTGTGGACAAAATCAAAATAAGTAGAAAGGCAAAAATATTGGCAGCGGTTAATGAGCACTGGTTGATTTTGACTGCTGTTGCCTCAGGTAAGGCGAATACTATAAAACATCCACTAAACCGTCTGCTCCTTGGTTCCGTTCTGTCCTGTGAGGGGTTGGGGTGGAGGAATAATGGGACACAGGGCATCAGCTTGATATTTCCAGGAAATGTGCCTATGCTTTCTCTTCCGTGGGGTGAGTTCAGTAGCATGTCCCCTGTATTCCAAATGGTCCCTGGGGTCTCCTTGCTGTCGCATTTCTGCACAGTCCTCAGACACTAGAGACAAGTGTTGGAGGTTGTTAGCACATGTCCCCCTGGAGATGAAACTGGGCTCAGCACCAGCAAGAGTACACGGGAGGGGAATCGTCTCTGCTCGGTGCTTGGATAATGGCTACTCCCCGATGCCCAGGGAAGAATTAAGTTCAGATGTTCCTCGCACTCTACTACACACTCGATCCTGAACAGCTGGGCTGTTAATACAATTTAAGAAGCGAGAACTGGCTGTTCACCATCTATATATAATGTATTTGAGATAAATCTCTCAATGAGGAGGCATTAACATTTCGAGTTTCTGTACAGCCAAGGGAAGCAGAACATTAGGCAAGTATCCAATGAGCCTCATTAACGAAGATAACCAACGTGTAGAATCTGGGGGGACTTGCTCCACATTTCTACTCGCCGTGGTATTTTTTTTTAACCTGAAATATGCTGGTAATTTTCTGACTTGCAAAATTGAGCTGGCCTAAAGATGAATAAATATGCTAATTCTTAATACTTGCTGAACAGCCTTCACATTCTAGGTGGGACATAAAAATAAAGCATCATTTGTCACTTTTATTTTTTTTACAGTTGATATCTGAGAAGATGAAATAGTCAAGCCATAAGAGGCTGATTTATTTTCAAGAAAATGGAAATAATATAACATTACACAACAGCGCTTTCTAAAAATCCTATATCACCTATGAAATGCCTACTCTAAAATTTATAAGAGGGAAAACTGTAGACAAGCAACTGGTATGAGTACAAGAGTTTTTATTTTTATACGGGTGGAAATGGTTAAGAACAAGGTTAGTCCTGTCGGAGAAGGGCGATTTCCTCCTTGTGCTTATGAAGAGCAGACACCTCTGTGGCATTTCCACCTTCAGAGCCAGTCTCAGCACAAACCAAGTTAGCTTGTAGCGTAAGTTAGTGGAAAACAAACGTAACAATGGCTGACACTGTCAACCAGCAACAAAACTAAATATATTTGCTAAAGAAAATTTTCACCTAGCAATATTGACACATTTTCTCACTATCATTAGAAATGTGCTTGTCATTGTGTGTCCACTCATACTTCCTAACAAGATAATCTCCGAGTCTAAGAGAATACCTGCTCTTCTGTTCATTAAGGCAGAGAGATGGAACATGCGCTTGGACTTTTTTTTTTTTTTTGCTATAGGATGTGTGCGCTCGCCAGACAGACAGAGAGAGACATAGAGACAGAAAGCGAGAAATCACCCCCCAAGGGGGATGGTCACGCCGCAATCCCTTCTCCTCCATTCTCCTCTCGGGATCTTGGGCATGCACGCACACGCACCCAGCGTGAGTTTTAAGCCACCAGGTCTGGGACGTGAACCGCGGTCGACTACGTGGGAGTCCAGTGACATAGCCATTACGCTAACTGCTGGTTCCCGTGCTTGGACTTTTTAATAGCAGTTTTAGCTTCTTAGGATATGAGTTCAAAAAGAAGGACATACATAACTAACCTGTGTTGTTGAGCGCACCAAAAGGTTTACCTGATCTGTCAGGAAATTATTCCTACTGACTCAGAATTTTACAATTGCAAAATACTACATACAGTTTGATTAATTTATACTTTAAAAACATTAAAAGGAAGACAATTTGTTCCAGGTTTGCATCTGAAGGCTCAGTTGCACTCTGAACACATGGGTGCCCAGGGTCTTGTGGACTGAGGCTGGGGTGGATTGCTGTGGGAAGACTGTTGGCGGTGTCTGTCTGTTTCTTACTCTTTCATTCTGCCTCTCTTTCTTTCTCTGAAAACATAAATAGTGAATAACTTCAAAACATAGGGCAATTCTCTTTCTTTTTTGAATTCTGCCATTTTTTAGAATGTAAATAGCTATCCTAGCATTTCTGATCCAGACAGTGTTTTCCTATCCTTTGTTTCAGTGAGGGCACGAATAAAGTAGACATGCCACAATGAAGCTCTCGTGTATCCAAGACAGTTAAGTGACCTCCAGTTTGTCTTTATTATGAATTTGCTTTAGCAAACATCTTTGTTTTTCTAAATGTTAGAGTTTATTTCCTCCGAATAGCTTTTCTGAAATGAAATTACTAGATCAAATGATATGAATATTTTAAAGCTCCTGTTTCCAAGCATATTTCTAAACAGCTTTCCAACGGGTATTTATTAATTTACTTTAGAGTAGCAATATATGAGAATTATAGTATTACCCTTGGTTTCACAAGCTGCTAATGAACACTTTTATTTGTGTTTATTTCATTCCTAGCAAATTTGAAAGTTTCTGTAAGTACTCATTTACAATTTTTTGTATATTAGGTTCTTATTTTTTATGTGTTTTCTTTTCAATTGGTTTATTATTTCCAGCTCTTATCTGTCATCTTTGCTTTTATTTTTATTTATTCTTTGTCCAGGCTCTCATGATTCATTCAGCTACTGGGTAGATGAAAAGTCCCCAGTGGGGCCTGACCAAGCTCCAGCTATCAAACGCCTTGCCAGGATCTCCTTGGTGAAGAAGCTAATGAAGAAATGGTCTGTAACTCAGAACCTGACATTCCGCGAGCAGTTAGAAGCTGGGATCCGCTACTTTGACCTGCGTGTGTCTTCTAAGCCAGGGGATGCGGACCAGGAGATCTACTTCATCCATGGGCTTTTTGGCATCAAGGTTGGGGATGGGCTGATGGAGATTGACTCATTTCTTACACAGCACCCTCAAGAGATTGTCTTCCTGGATTTCAACCACTTCTACGCCATGGAGGATGCCCATCACAAATGCCTAGTTCTCCGCATCCAGGAGGCCTTTGGAAACAAGCTGTGTCCAGCCTGCACTGTGGAAAGTATGACGCTGCAAAGCCTGTGGGGGAAGAAGTACCAGGTAGGAGGGAAGGAGCGATGAGCTTCTGAGGGCAAGAACATAACTCTCTCTCTGTTTTTCCTACATCACCAGCTGCAAAATATACAAAAATAGTTTTCTATACAAAAAATATGTCTTCACTTTTCTGACAATTTAATAGTTCAATCCAAAGCTAGTAGGCTAGAAGGCATGGGTTGTTTGGAGCATTCATATATGCAGACTGGTTCTTGGGCTCTAGAACAATTTCAAAGGCTGGCATTAACATCTGCCAAATATTTCATTCATTTTTTTTCATTGCCAGAGGACATGTACTTGCAACAGAGACAGAGAGAGGGAGAGAGAGAAAAAGAGGGAGTGTGAACGTACCCCCTGATCATGTGTGGTCACACTGTCATCCCGTCTGCCCCTTCTCTCCATCCTGCCAAGATTTTGGACATGCATACACACACCCAACATGATTTTCAAGCCCCCAGGGCTAGGATTCAAACCCTGGATTCCTTTACCAGTGGGCTAAAGGGCTAGCCCTGAACACCACCAGATATTTAAAGCAAACTATTTGACATTGAAATTGACTTTGAATAACCTGGCCAGAACCAGCCCAAAGTAAAGTTATGAAATTGGGCCAGTTGATCATAATTATTCTGTCTTTCATAAGGTCCTATCTCCTCCTAGTTTGCTTCTGAGATAGTCTCTTTCATCTTTCAACTCAATGTTGGATCGTCCTTGTGAAGGTACTGACTGATTGGGAAACACACTGACTAACGAAGGCATATGAAGGGGCTAATCTCGGGGGTGTTAATATTTTAAGAGTTCCTATCCATAGAATATTGATCATAGAGGAATAGAGAATTAAGAAAGAAAAAACCTTTTGGGAGGGGGGTATCCAAGCTGGGAGAATGTTCCGTAGATACTTAAATTGAGGAGAGCCTGCACAGCTAGGCCCATGAGGGCCATATGCAGGAAAAAGAAATGTGGACCTCTGGTATATTCTACTCTGATCCGAATGAATGGTAATAGGAGAGAAGAGTCTCAGGAAAGGGTGATTTCCAATTTAGACTTGCTTTAAAAAGCAATAATAATGAGGGGCCAGTAGCTGTGTAGTGTTTTAAGTGCTGGACTCCTACGTGGCCAGCCATGGTTCGAGTGCCAGATCCGTGGCTTGAAAATTCATGCTGGGTATGTGTGCATGCATGCCCAGAATCTCAAGAGGAGAATGGAGGAGAAGAGATTGCAGTGTGGCCATCCTCCCTGGGGGGGTGATTTCTCACTTTTTGTCTCTCTGGTAAGTGTATGTGCCTTCTAGCAAAAATCTCTCTAAAGAATAAGGGAACCAGCAGTTGGCGTAATGGCTATGTCGCTGGACTCCCACGTAGTCGACCGTGGTTCACGTCCCGGACCCGGTGGCTTGAACCTCACTCCGGGCACGTGTGCGTGCATGCCCAAGATCCCGAGAGGACAATGGAGGAGAGGGGATTGCGGCGTGACCATCCCCTCTGGGGGGTGATTTCTCGCTTTCTGTCTCTCTGTCTGTCTCTGTCTGTCTGGCGAGCGCACACGCCCTATAGTAAAAAACTCTCAAAAAAAAAAGAATAATAATAAAATAAAAAGCAAGTTAGATATTTTTGGATACAAGGAGGAACTTCAATGGAAAACTTAGTTAAATATTATTTATTTGTAAATATTTATTGAATACCAAGTATGTGCCAAGCACCATTCTAAGAACCTGGGGCAGGAAAATCAGTGAAAATAATCAATACAAAGATTTGTCCCCTAATAGAGTTTTCATTCAGATGAAGAGGGGTAATCATAGATAATAGAGGTAATAAATATATTACATATAATGCTTGAAAGTGGTAAAAGATATGGGAAAAGAAAAAGTCAAGTGTGGTAAGGGGGAACCAGGTTCTTTAGGTTGGACAGTGGTTAATATTTTAAGCAGGTAGATCAGGGTAGCCTGAAGGAAAAGATGGCATCCGAGGAAGTTGGTCACGTGGATATTTGGGGCAAGAGAAGCAGCCTACGCAGAGGCCCTAAAGCAGAAGTGTCCCTGACATCTCTGAGGAAAATTTCTCCTGGTGGGACTGGAGAGCAGGTGAGGACAGAGTAGTAGGAAGAGGCTAGAGAGAGATCCTGGGTGGTCACATGAGCTCTGAAGGTACTGTAAGGATCTGCCTCGCAGGCTGAGTGAGGAGGGTTCTGCACATAGGCTGAGGGGCCTGACTCTGGCTTTAATGGGATCCCTTGGGTTGCTGTACAAGGAAGAGATTGGGAGCAGTGGGCACTGGAAGAAGTCGGGAAACCAGTGAGGAGACTATTAGGGGCGAGTGGTCAGGTTTTGAATCTATCAGAAGGCAGAGCCAACAGGGTTTCCCAGTGGGTAGGAATCAGGGTGTGAATGAAGTGAGGGCACAAGGATGACTCCCAGACCTGGCCTGAGTAATCAGAAATACCAGGCTGTTTCCATGCCTGTGAAAATGCTGACTGTCTCTGACTACATAGAGGCTTACTAAATTAATTCTTGGTATCTATTAAAAGTCAACAAGTCATTTTTCCTCATTACAACTTTGTAAATGGTATTTTGCCAAGATTTATCACATTTTTCCCCCTACTAAACCTAAGCTTCTATCTCTTCAGACTGACAAGTCTAACTAGGAAAGATGTTTTTCACAGTGGAATTTCTCTCTTACCCATTAAACAATGGTAATAACAAGAACAAATATTTATTGAACCTTTGCAGTGTTCTAGGTACATGGTTGAACTCATTCAATCCTCTCAACACTATGAGATAGGTACCCTGCTTCTGTACTCATTTGGGGGGAGGGGAAACTGAGGCATAGAAAGACTTAGCAACTTGCCCAAGGGAGCACTGCTGGGAAGTGGAAAGCAGCGGGTTCCATCCCCAGCTGCCTGATTCTCCAGAGCTCCCACAGCTTCGGAATCTCTCTGAGGGCTCTTCACACAGCCTACTGATTCTCACAGCTGGTGTCATCTATTACGCTAATGAAAATACTTTCTGCTTATTAATGAGCCCATTATCAGAGGACCTCAGAGCATTAGCAGCATGGGAGAAAGGCATGGAGATCTATAAAAGAGTCCTTGGATACTGGGATTTGAAAAAGGTTAAATTTGAGGAGAGATAAAATTTTATAATTTTGTACTCAGTATTCTGGATGGGTTAGCGTATTGAATACTAATCTGTTTAGAAATTTGCAGGAGTAAGAAATGTCTTCAGAAATAATGAATAGTACGGGCAGTAAATTTTTAGCAGCAAAGTGGAGGTCTGTCCGTTTTTAAGTATGGACCAATCTAACTGTGTCATCTAACTATGAATACTTCCATAAGTTAGGAAGGAAAGAAAATGTAGTGACATATCAGAACAAGGGATAGTGTCATTGATTTAAATCCCAAGGTCTTCCTAAAGCAAGCCATAGTTTAGCAGGACTGCAGCCATTTTGAAATTAAGAAAGACCTCTAACAAAACATTCTGACCAAGTGCTAAGTCATAGAGAGGTCTGAGCAATGGTCAGATAGGAGACTAGAAATGGATGTTTGGAGTAAAACAGGAATCACGATAATTAACTGGGGGAAAGCAATGAATTCTGACTGACTGTAGTGAGAGAGGACATGTTGAGCTTTTTTATTTTTTAAAAGTTTTTACCATAGGGCTCATATGCTCACCAGAAAAAGAGAGAGATAGTGAGAGGGAAGGTGAGAAATGACCCACCTCAGAGGGGATGACCATGCTGCAGTCCCTTTTCCTCCATTCTCCTCTTGGGATTTTGGGTATGCAGTTTGATGGTGCTTGCTGACTGTCTCCCTGTAACTGGTTACAGAAGTAAACACTCCCTTTCCCGCGTCTGCCTCCCATTTCATTGACCAAGAGAAGCAGCAGCCATACTTAATTGGCTGGCAACACCCTGTGCTTCATTCCCCCTATGCTTTCCCTGGCACATCTCTTCTTATGAGCTAAACAAAGAGATCTCAAATTATCAGCCTTCTTCTTCTCCCTGCTGGGGTAGTGACATACTGGTAGCTAAATTTTAAATATTCGTTATAAAATGAGCTGCCTCACATGTAATCTCCTGAGTAGTTTATTACTACAATTTAATAGCAAGAAGTACACTACCATTCCATTCAATGTCATTTACTCAACATGCAATGACATCCCAGCTCACAGGTACGTATTTGCACATGAACAGATAGGAGTTTTCAGGATACAACCAATTAGGAGATTTTATCTACACCTTAGAAGTTTGTAGGGTCTTAATGAGAACATAAGAGTACATAACACTAGTGAAATAGCAACAGCTGGTATACAATTGCAAGATAAAACTACCTTCCTTGTGTGTTTTGTACTGTATGAAAAAAGGGGTTTTGAATTAAATCCATTGAAAAGTAGAACATAGCATAAGTCTGCATCCCGGAGGCCCCTGGTAAAGGGACGATTGGAATAAAAGGCCAGTCCAGGAGTAATTCGTAAAGAAAATGAGATTTTTTTTTTTTAAATGTGAATCTCAAGAGAAAAACTGAACATGAACTACTGAGCTGGAGGGGCTGGTATTTCAGAGAGAAATACAGCAAAACAAGGTGGAGAGGCAGATGCAAAACACAGGCCCTGAGTGCAAGTCCTCCGCACACAGAAATTCTTCCTCAATCATCAGGATCAGATTGCTCAAGAGAGCGCTTAAAGAAAGGCATAAATCCTCTTGTGTATAATCTGTGCTCTTTGCACCTTTTCCAAGGCAGAGTAAAGAACAGCATTGTCCTCTGGTCCCCTGATGCTCAGTGCAGGGGCCAGACAGCACAGGATATGTATGGTCTGACAGGCCCTGTCACTGGACACACAGCCTCCTGCCTGTCTTGGCGTCCACCGCACGGGCCAGCTTTCCTCATAGGCCCGGGACCGCAAAACTAACTAATTACTTTGCTGGGAGGAAATCCTCCTCAGTCTCCCAGGTGATCTGCTTACATGAGCTGGTGATTGACCTCATTAACACACGTGTTCACCACAGACATCATTAGCAATCGGGCAGACATTACTTAAGAGCATTAAAAACAACAGCAGTCATTACCCTACTCAGGCATCCAGCCTGGCCCTCCCTGACTGTGGGCCTCCGGGAGCAGTTAGTCAGGCACCCTAGTCACAAGCTACATGCACACCGGAAACAAGACCAACGTTCAGAGTCTTGTTCTTGGTGCCTGGAGGATCACACTCCAAGGCCAGCTATTTGAGGATTGCAGTCCAGGCTGTGTAAACACGTGCAGGACATTCCTCCAAGAAGAGATCACTGATGCCCATGAGGGGAAAAAAAAAATAGTATGTCTAGAAACCTACCCAGCAGAGCTATGAAGTGGGACAATCAAAATAGCAATTCCCCGTCCCAGAGCTCCCTCTCAGAAACTAATTAATGCTGTGGATGCGACTTGCTAATTATTTTCAAACTCACCACCATCCTGAGCTGTCCCAGTGGAGGCCCATCACCTCTGCAAAGTTTTCCCTGACTCTAGTGGCATACTCCCCACCTCTCCTGGGAGGGACAATTTCAGTTGCTCAGAGCACAATTGAAAATCTGTTACCAAATTATTTCAACGTGTTTATCTCAACTCCAAGAGGTAAGTGTCAATTCTGTCAGCACAGAAGATGTTAGACCATACCAGCAAACTCAACCTGAGTATTCTTGATCTGAGGTCCAAAGACTGCCCTGGGGAGGGGTATGGTAGAACTTAAAAAATCTGTGAATTTGGATAGAAAAAAATTGCATATTAATTTTTATTAACCTTTAGCTTAACATTAGCATACCCACTGATTATGAGTACAGGCAGTCCACACAGCAGCCCTCCTGTCACTCTGTCCCCATAGATGTGTCCATATGGCATTTAAGTTATGGCAGTTACCTTACAAAACCATTGAGGCTCATCACTAACGCGCTTATAGAACTTAGTGGACTCACAACAAAATAATGTTATTTAATGTTTATCATGAAGTACGGACATTTATTTATTACAATTTTAATATAGTAGTGGTTATATTTCCATATTATTGATTTCCTTTGCAATGCTATTTTATTTTATACATTCATTTAAAACATAATCCGGATAAAGGGCTCTGGGACTTTACCATACTTCCAAAGAAGTTCATGACCAAAAAAATTTTTAGATCTTTGAGTCACACATGTACTCAGAAAATCATCATTTACTGAATTTTTAAAATACATATGTAACAATTCTCAAATTTTCACACATATTTATATTGGTTCACCTTTTCTCCCAGCAATCAGTATAAACCCAAGGAGTTAATATCCACCTTTTTCTTTTTTAAATTTGGTGGAGGGTGCATATGCTTACCAGAAAGAGACAGAGAAAAAGAGAATGAAAATGAGAAAGCATCCCCCAAGAGGGTTGGTCATGCCACAGTCCCTTCTGTCTTCTTCATTTCTCCTTCCTCTCGGCATTTTTGGTTATGCACAAACACAGCATGTTTTCTAAGCCACTGGGACTGGGACTCGAACCATGTAGTCGGCCATGTGGGATACAACCACCATAAGCACCATGTCACCAGCCGGCCCATTTACATTTTTATGAATTGCTCTCTTTTTTCTGCTTTGAATGTTTCAGGTTCTTATTTTTTACCACTGTCCCTTCTACAAGCAATACCCCTTCCTGTGGCCAGGAAAGAAGATTCCAGCTCCCTGGGCAAATACCACAAGTGTGCGCAAACTCATCCTCTTCCTGGAGACCACTCTGAGTGAGAGAGCCCCACACGGCGCCTTCCATGTCTCCCAAGCAATTCTCACCCCGAGAGTAAAGACCATCGCCCGAGGCCTGGTTGGTGGTCTCAAGAACACATTGGTTTGTAGGTAAGAGTTTGCTTCCATCCCACATGTAAGGGTTTTTTCAAAAAAAAATTTTATCTTGAGTTTGTTCTGAATAAATAGCAGTAAAGCCATATAGTTTAAGGATTTAAAGAAGAAGATGAAGAAGAAAACCAATTTTGTTTGAGAAAGTTTTGTATTTGAGCGAGGTTGCACAAATTGTGCTCCAAGGATCTATAAATACTTAGTTAAAATGCACACATTATACCATTAGTACTCTTTAAATGTTGACAATAAAGAAAAACATGGCGACATGGTTTTCCTGTCCCTGTGCTGCCCCCTAGCCCAGGTTCTCACGCATTTAATAAGCATAAAATACAGACTACAGGCTAGGCCTCCAGAGATGACCCTTCAGTGATTTGGGGTCCTTGCCCTTCCATGGTGATGGTAAGGCCCATAAAGCAGTTTAAGATGCCACCCACTGTGCTATGGCCTCAAATATGTCCTCAAGGCAGAATTGAGCCTGACAGTAAAATTAGCAGAGGAAGCTCCAGCAATTTTGTATTAGATAACATCCTTTATCCTGGACACCAATGAATGATAGATGTTGTCAAGAAAGGATGGCTTGAATGCCGGATGTGGTATGTGTGGAGGAGTGGGGCCTAGGGGAGGACTTTGGAGGAGGGATACAGAGGCAGAGCATTGACAGAGGGATACAGAGGCAGAGCATTGGGGAGGTGTGGTGTTATGGGCAGAAGATATTTTGATCAACTGGACTGGGGAGAAATGTTCACATATTAAATGTTCACTTTGTAAGCTAAACAATGTGATTGAATATATATAAAAAATAAAAAAATAATTAATAAAAAAGAGAAAGAAAGGATGGCTTACATATATATATTAATATGTACGTGTGTATGTACATGTTAAAAAGGAATGTTATAAACACACTTGGATAACAGGGCATCCCTTGTTATCCACCATGGAGAAGCTAAAATGTTTGAGTAATGAGATATTTATGAGAATCAGTCTGATTCCTGATTTCCAGGTGGTGGGCACTGAGTTCAGACAATGAAACCTCTACCTGAAAAGGTTTTCCCATTTATTTGGGTCTGAGTTTGGACAGCAAATGGCACCTGCCTTTTTCTTTCTTGTTGAGAGTTCTTGATTACGTCAGTCATGCACAGACCCAGACACTCCTTTCAATACCACTCCGCTAGGCTTGACTGGCTTAACGGTGCTAAACCTGGAAAAGAGACTTCATAAACCAGTACTGTATATCTCCTTAAGTGATAAAAACAACAAGCTTCCTTTCTAAAAAATAATATATGTACATGCATCCACATCATTTCCCTCATGCCTTTGGTAAGTTTATAGGTTAATAGTATGCACTGATTAAATTAATAAACATTGCATCGGAGGAGCTAGGTTCAAAGGTACAAGATGACTGTATAGTCTCTACTCCCATGGAAATCATAATCCACCAGGAAAAACTAGGACGGAACTTTTTATAAGCACTATGCAAATCACTTTAATAAAAGTCTGTGCAGAGAGCTATACTAACAAAGGAAGAGAATATTTTAAAATAAGGTAAGTTGTACCTATGTACTGTATTTTGCTCTAAAGTATCCTTTTGCAGATGATTTCATTTGCTTCTTAAATAAAAACCAGCCTCTACGAGGAAACATTTTCTAGAGCACATTATCAGTCCCACTTGAGAGGGGACTCAGTGAGGTTAAGTGACCCAGATCCACTTAGCTAGGAAAAGTCAATAATATGTCCTCGAACTCTAGACCTCTGAATGTTGGACCACTGCTCTTTTCAGTATTCAGCCCTGTCCTGGGGGCCTGCTTCTGTGGCACAAGGGTAAGTGCCATGCAAGGCTAGAAGCCATATGGCTGACTGCAGGTCCCCAGATTGACTTGAAAACTCACTGGACACGTGGTCAGGTACCCAGGATCCTCAGGAGCTGGAGGACTGGGGAAATGGGATTGTTGCATGAAGAGACTCCATCGGGGTTGTCCCACCCCTCTCTCTTACATACACATGCATGGGCTGCCATAAAACAACAACATTGACTCGGGCACAGTATAGTCTAGTGCCCTGTTCCTTTTTACTCCACAGACCTGTTACTGTCTTGCTAGTGCCTGCATCTGGTCAGATCTCACCGTTTACAACTGCCAACCCGCAATGTCACAATGATTTCCATGCTTCTGAATTCCTAGACCTGTAATCTGGCTGCATATACATCGCAGGTTCTTTGCTTGCTGGTAATTGTGGCAGATGTACCCAAAGTCAAGGTATCCCAGTCTGCCTGAGCCCTTGCTCAGCTGGTAGTAAGTAGCCAGCTTAGATTGGAAAGAGACTTTGGCCTCTCAACCCCTGCCAGTCACAGGAACATGGCAGGGAAGATCATGCATTCCTGTGCCTGCCCATCAACTAAGGAGGAAGTGCAACTCTGGTCTGTAAGCCAAGGAGAAAGGCCCCAGGAGAAGCCTAACCTGCTGCCACCTCCATCTTGGACTTCCAGCCCCCAGAATAGGAGAAATCAATTTCTGTTACCAAGTCCCCCACTAATGCAGTCCCTGAGCAACAGGATGGCCTTGGACACGTTTTCTGAAGTCTCTAAGCTGTGGTTTTCTTACCAGGTAAATGGGGCTAGTAATAACTCATGGAACTGTGGAATCTTGGCATACAAATGCCCACCACAGTATCTAGCATGAACTAGCATGCCATCCCTATGTGTAAAGAAACCCCAAGAAGCAGTGGACCAGCCTCGTTCTCAGGCGTGTCTCAAAGTCAAAGGGGAGTTTTGAACTGCTGCTCTGCAGCCTGTAGGAATTGTTGCCCCCGGGGCCTGTCAGCATCATCTACCCCAACCTCTTGCATCCATCTCACTTGGGTAAATGCCGGAAGTTAGGAAATACGGTGACTCCTCTTCACAGTGGGTTCTCCATTTCTCTCTCTACGTAATCCTGGTTACGTAACGCTTGCTTTGGGAAAGGTTGATACATGCCACTCGATGCTGACACAGAGCTCTTTGTCAGCAGAGACCCCAACATACCTTCCCCACATTGTGCTGAGAAGGTTCCAGAGATCCTGCCGTGACCTGGCTATTGCTGCCCTCAATTCTTATTTCCCCAACATGGCCAGTAGATGGCGCCTGTGTTTCATATTTAAACACTGCCCGGGGATTTTTTAGTCTTGGAGGCATTAGGTTCAGTATTCCAGGGTCCCTCATGTGGGCCACTGCTCTTTTCAGTGTTCAGCCCTGTCCTGGGGGCCCGTTTCTGTGGCCATGCAAGGCTGGAAGCCATATGGCTGACTGCAGGTCCCCAGGTTGACTTGAAAACTCACTGGGCACGTGCTCAGGTCTCCAGGAGAGGTGTGTTTTCAGCCCCTCACTCTCTGGTCACAACAGTTTGTCACCTAAACAGTAGGCTGTGACGGCTTTAGGGGAGTTTCTTACTCCCAGCCCCTGAATATTTCCAACTTCACTCCCACTTACGTCCGTCTCTTATGCCCAATGTCCACATAGTATTTGCTGTATCTTGGGAAGTGTTCCACACTTTACATGAATTAGTTCATTTAAAATTTTGCACGTGGAATTACTGTCCCCCCTTTTACCAGGGGAGAGATTGAAGGGCAATGAAATTCAGTAACTTAAAGGTCACATTGCGATTAAGTCTTCAGGAATCCCAGATAAAATCGGAAGGACCCTGGGAGGGTGGTCTATGAAGCCATAATCAGCTATTAATACAAAAGGAAAATTTATTTGTGACATGTATTTTCACCCAGGACTGATTGTAGACTCCACTGAGTGAGGGGAGAAACTTGGGGCTAATTATATGGGGTCGTCGGACATGAACTAGCATGCCATCCCTATGTGTAAAGAAACCCCAAGAAGCAGTGGACCAGCCTCGTTCTCAGGCGTGTCTCAAAGTCAAAGGGGAGTTTTGAACTGCTGCTCTGCAGCCTGTAGGAATTGTTGCCCCCGGGGCCTGTCAGCATCATCTACCCCAACCTCTTGCATCCATCTCACTTGGGTAAATGCCGGAAGTTAGGAAATACGGTGACTCCTCTTCACAGTGGGTTCTCCATTTCTCTCTCTACGTAATCCTGGTTACGTAACGCTTGCTTTGGGAAAGGTTGATACATGCCACTCGATGCTGACACAGAGCTCTTTGTCAGCAGAGACCCCAACATACCTTCCCCACATTGTGCTGAGAAGGTTCCAGAGATCCTGCCGTGACCTGGCTATTGCTGCCCTCAATTCTTATTTCCCCAACATGGCCAGTAGATGGCGCCTGTGTTTCATATTTAAACACTGCCCGGGGATTTTTTAGTCTTGGAGGCATTAGGTTCAGTATTCCAGGGTCCCTCATGTGGGCCACTGCTCTTTTCAGTGTTCAGCCCTGTCCTGGGGGCCCGTTTCTGTGGCCATGCAAGGCTGGAAGCCATATGGCTGACTGCAGGTCCCCAGGTTGACTTGAAAACTCACTGGGCACGTGCTCAGGTCTCCAGGAGAGGTGTGTTTTCAGCCCCTCACTCTCTGGTCACAACAGTTTGTCACCTAAACAGTAGGCTGTGACGGCTTTAGGGGAGTTTCTTACTCCCAGCCCCTGAATATTTCCAACTTCACTCCCACTTACGTCCGTCTCTTATGCCCAATGTCCACATAGTATTTGCTGTATCTTGGGAAGTGTTCCACACTTTACATGAATTAGTTCATTTAAAATTTTGCACGTGGAATTACTGTCCCCCCTTTTACCAGGGGAGAGATTGAAGGGCAATGAAATTCAGTAACTTAAAGGTCACATTGCGATTAAGTCTTCAGGAATCCCAGATAAAATCGGAAGGACCCTGGGAGGGTGGTCTATGAAGCCATAATCAGCTATTAATACAAAAGGAAAATTTATTTGTGACATGTATTTTCACCCAGGACTGATTGTAGACTCCACTGAGTGAGGGGAGAAACTTGGGGCTAATTATATGGGGTCGTCGGAAAAGTCATGACATATTTTTCTTTTTTTTTTTAATGTAAAAATACATCATGACTTTGCTGACAACCCAGTAGTTGTCATGGGAAAAGGAAAAGGAAGAGGAGGACAATATACTACCAGTGCCTTATGAGGGTTATTTAGGAGGCCAGGCTCTGGCTTTTCAGAGAAAGAAGGGGGTCAGCTTCAAACGAGAAAAGGGAGAAGATGACAGCTAAGGAGCGTGTTACCAAAAGAAGAGGAAGAGGTCAGTTAAGGTAATGCACTTTGCTTATTTTCAATTTTGGCCTAACGCAAATCTTTCCTAGAAAATCTCCAATCTCTTAGCCAGTATTAGGCCCTAGTTCCTGTCTTCCTTGCAATAGTACTTCTCAGCCTTTCGAGTACTGAGGGAGCTGTTTTCACCATGACACACGATGGCTGGAGCACGTTATTGCTCACAGCTCTCTGGTGGCCAAGGTATTCTACACGTACTATAAGTATAGAAATGATCACATTGAACTGTCATTGTTTGTTTATCTCACTAACCTGTGAGCTTCTTTGAGTTAAATATTCTGTCTGTCACAGAAGCTTTTAATTTAAGAAAGGAGACAGGCAGACTGTGTTGATGAGACAACTGAATAATATTGGTTTACTGGGGCCAGCAGGTGGCATAGGGTTGAGGTGCTGAACTCCCACATGACCAACCATGATTCAAGTCCTGGACCCAGTGGCTTGAAACTCACACCAGGCAAGTGTGTGTGAGTGTCCAAAACCCCAGGAAGAGAAGGAAGGAGAAGGAACTGCAGCATGGCCATCCCCCGGATGGTGATTTTTCGCTTTCTCTCTCTCGCTCGCTCTCTGTCTTTCTAGTAAGCACAGATTTTTTTGGCCTATAGCAAAAATCTCTCCTTTAAAAAAGAAAAAAATTGATCTACTAAAAACTCCCACATAGTCATAGAATTGTATATCCATCGGAAGAAGTGAACTTTGACCCTTACTTTCTACCATATTACATAATTAGAGATGGTTTTCTTCTAAAAGGCTAAACTATAAACCTTTTAGAAGAAGACAAAGGAAGATATCTTTTATTAATTGGAAACAGAAGTCTTTTTAGACACCTCACAGAAACCGTAAAAGCAAAACTTGACAAACTAGACTCCATCAAAGTTAAGGACTTCAGCTCATCAAGAGGCATCACTGAAAAAAATTAATAGATTTGCTATAGGGTAGGATAAAATACTCACAAAATATGTTTGGCAAAATACTGATATCCAGGATGTGTAAATAACTTCTACAAACAACAATTTTTTTAAATGAATAAAATAATTAAACAGATACATCCAAAAAGAACATATGCAAATGTCCAAAAATTATGTGACTAAGTGTTCAACATCCGTAGTTATCAGGAAAAATACAAATTAAAATATCGTGAAATATTTCTACATAGTTGCCAGACTGGCAAAAATTAATGACCAATAGTACCAAATCATGAGGAGGATGTGAACAATCAGAAATCTCATGCTTCATTGGTGGGAGTTGACAGTGAAACAACCTCTTTGTGAAAAGGTCTGGCAGTTCCTTATAAAACTAAATATAAAACAACCGTATAATATAATAATTTTGTTTCTTGATATTTACCCAAAAGAAACAAAAATGAATTGCTACAAAAAGACTCACATGGGACCAGCAGTTAGCATAATGGCTATGTTGCTGGACTCCCATGTAGTCGACCACAGTTTGAGTCCTGGACCCAGTGGCTTAAACTCATGTGCGTGCATGCCCAGGATCCTGAGAGGAGAATGGAGGAGAAGGGATTGCAGCGTGTCCATCCCCCCTGGGAGGTGATTTCTCACTTTCTGTCTCTCTGTCTCTCTCTGTCTCTCTGGCGAGCGCATGCACCCTATAGCAAAAACATCTTCAAAAAAAAAATTTTTTTTAAAAAGATTCATGTAAGAATACCCATAACAGTTTTATCCATAATATCCAAAAACCGGAAACAGCCATCAATAAGAAAACGGATTAAACAAACTGCAGTACATTTGTTCAGTGGAATACTGTGCTGTGATTTTTTAAAAAAATGAACTACTGATACGTACAACAACATGGATGAATTTCAAAAGCATTATGCTGAGTGGAAGAAAGCTCACACAGAAGAATGCATATTGTCTGGCTTATATGAAGTTCCAGAATGGGCAATCTAACCTATGGTGGAGAGCATGTCAACATAGTTATCTCCAGGAGGATGGGGCAGGGATTGACGGCAAAGAGGCATGGAGGAAGAACCTCTGTAGTGCTAGCAATGTTCTATACCTTGATAGGGGTTGGGATAGATGTGTGTGTGTGTTGTGTGTACACACGTGACATACATAGACTTGCTGAGTTTTGGACTAATATATATGTGTGTATTTGTGTGTGTGTAACATACGTGTGTGTTTGTATCCCAAATAAACACATGCTCACACATATATGTATTTCTTTTTTGGTCAGAACTCAGCAAATTATGTTTTCTTAAGATAGGTGGGTTTTATTACACATAAACTTTGTCCAAAAAAAAAAAAACCACAAACTGAAAACAAATATTGAACCCCAGGTAATATATTGATGTTTGTCATTGGAATATTTCCGAATGTGGGGTAGATTGATAGAAGGAGAGTGGTGAGTTGGTTGACAGACAATAGTAGAGTAAGTGTCAATTGTAGAATCAGGAGGATAGATACTCACTATAGAATTTTTTCAGTGTTGCCCTAAGTTTGAAAATTTTCATGATAGAAAAAGTTAAAGAACCCACCAATAACTGAGTTATTGATCTTGGTCAAGGCTCTGTTGACATAGTACCCCTTTGCTGCTTGGTGTATATGATATTCTCTATCAGCAAGAAAATGCTAAACAGTATAATTCACTGACAGGATACAGACCACTTCATCCCTGAAAGAGACAGAAAACTTAAATGGATATTCCACTGGGTTCTTACTCTTTTATTGATATGCTTTTGTTATATCAGTAGCAATGTTTTGTTTCCATTCCTGGAGGGATCCTTCTAAACTCTGCTACTGATTCTCTCTCCCCCCAACACATCTCTGTGTAGGAATCTTCCTGCCATCCTGGAATGGGTGAAAACTCAGAAGCCTGGAACCATGGGTGTCAACATCATCACATCTGACTTCGTGGACCTGGTGGACTTTGCCACAACCGTCATCGAGCTGAATGACCTTCTACAGGAGGACAGAGCTTTGGCTAAATGCTGATTTAATTTTTAATTTTACTCAATGTTGAATTTGTTGACCAGGATTGAGTTCTTAAGGGTTTCCTGTTAGGATGGCCCCTGGGCAGTTCTGGTGAAATGAGTAAGAGGAGGAGAGCTTATTTTATTCCTTCCTCATAGGGCCATTTGGATAAAATTATAGGGCTTTTAGTTGCATTTTTCCCAAACGAGACTTCTAAGAAACTTAAGTCCAAGGGAAGAAAGCGTGTTTCATGTGAGCAAAGTCAGGATCTCTGCAATGGCTTATGGTGATGTATGGAATATGGAAAGACAGTCTCCAGGTTCCACTGGGGTATTAAGTGCCCCTCCAATTGGCCCAGTTCTCTATTGTCTTCCAGGGTGTTGAGTTTGAGCCAGTGAGAAGGCTAAACCAGGAAGCCATTTCTGGTCAAAAGTATGGCTCATTGCAGGTGTGGACTGACCAGTAGGGTGACTCTAACACCAACCTGAGGCTCTGAACAGGAAAGTGGCCAGGCACCAGTTCTCTCCAGGACTGGTGAATGTTACAACTTATTAATTTAACCTGAGTAGGTAAGACCTATTTCTCACTACGGTGTTTTAGCCACAAGCTGTTGTTGTGTAGCTTGTGCTAGTAGCTGGTCATCTTCATTCTCCAGATAAAAAGTGTATACTGCCCTCGGTATCAGAACTATGTTTCCCAGTTTTACAACATTGATTCCTTTCTATTTCTTTTGGCTCCTTAAAAGTGAAAGGAACAATGATGGGAGATCTTTTCAGTGTGGGGCCCAACACAGATAGACTTACATGCATGTTTGTTGCATGCCTTATTTCTTTGATTTAATTCTGTGGCTTTTCCAAAAATGGCTGTCAGGTAAGCACCTGCATCATTTTGGCAAGTCTTCTTTGGACTGAGATCTTCCAGCCAGGTCTTGGAACTGCATTTTACTGTTGTCTGCCTAAGACTCAGGTCTGCACTGTGGGACACAACCCTAGTAGAAGGCACCTTGTCCATGATACCATGGAGGTAGCCACAGGATGCATGGGAAAGTGCAATGACATTCAAGGAGGAAGCTCCATGTGGGTTTGGAGCCATTCTGTAACTCCTTGAAAACAAGACTACCTCGGGGACATTTGGGATGACTTACATGTCATCGAGTGAAAAATACCCAGTGTGGGAACATCTCCAGTTTATGTCTTGATTGTTCTACTTTCTGTAGGTTGTTTTGAGCCTATTAATCACCTCCATGAAGGCTCTGAAACTCAAGGGGGGGGGTTGTTATTATTATTATTGATAAGAGGTGCTTATCTATAAAGAGCCCTCTTGGGTTTTTATTTATTTATTTATTCATTCATCTATTCATTTATAGAGTGAGTCTCTGCAGTGCACTGCAGTAAGTATCCTCAAGAGCACTCACACAGGAGCTTACTGGACTCTTCTCGCCAGTACAGATGCTGCTACGGTCTTCCTCCCCTCACCAGGACCGTGCATCTCAGGGCTCTCAGTGACCTTTGACTGCTGTAGGTGTCCTGGCTCCCCTAGCCCTTTCAGGGACAGTGTACACATGTGGACGTGGGACAGATCTGAGAAGCCCTGCCACCCCACTCACGAGGACAGAATGGCTCATAAAGAATTCTCAGTTCTTGAGGTAGATCATCCAACAAAGTGCTGAAATTAAGAAACAGAAGAAAACCGGGTATCGTGTGTTCTTCCATGTTCCTTGGCACTATCTGAGAATGCCTAAGTGTCAGGTTCTGGCATCTTAAGGAGAAAATGCAAATATGGAATCTCAAATAGATATGTGTATGTACAAAGGTCATTGGACCCTCCTCCCAGGAATTCTCGTTTATCTCCTTAGATGCTCATAAATGGATTTCGCATGTTGCCTGCAATGGGGGGAGCAGCGGCAGATCCGATCCTGGATGAGCCTCTAAAAGCACACGCACACCCCCTACTCCTGGTCTTCCAGCCTTTACTTTCTGTAACTTCAGTTCTGACTTTTAGCCTCCACGGTCTGAGGAGATCTCTGGGAAAATATGGTTTAAATGTCCTTTTTCTTGCATTTGAATACTTCCTCAAAGTGGTTTTTGGGGTGATATTGTTGAATTGCAAAGAGCCTTCTCTGGATCGGACTGAGAAAGTTAAGTGTCCACTTTCCTAATTTTCCTTCAATTCTTACATCACGCCCTAGTGATAGGTTCTGAAATCCCTTGCCTGTACCCTCAGGGTTTTATTTTTGTGTTATTGTTTCATTTTGGTTTTGTTTTTAATGCTTAGTCAATTGCTAAGGATCAGCCCATTTCCCATTTTAACTCTGTATTACTTGGCAAAGAGATAAGGAGGCAAGAGGAGAATCATTCTGCTCTGTTTTATTTGAGCCTCAGCTTTGTCCAGGTGCTTGGTGCTACGAGGCCAGGTGTGTTGTCAGGTATCTACACAGGATGCCAGTGACACCCAAGGGCTGCTGACTGTTCAGTGAAATGTTTACTAGACTTTCTCCTTTAATTTTTCAATATGTAGTTGCACTCCACTTGAGTTGTAACATTTAAGTGCACTGCAGGTTTTGCATGATAGAAGTGGTGGAGCATGACACAGAAACACAGAAAACTCTCCGAAGGCTGCATGCATGGAGTCCTGCTCTGTGTGGCGGGTGCAGGCACTCTGTCCTTCGTGTTGCTTTGAATTCGCCAGTTTTGCTTGCATTTGAAAGTCTGCCCAGGAATTCTAGATGATAGGAGGAGGATTGTTAACCGTTATCCCTTGATAAACACCCTTGAATTGAAAGACTCTGTGCCGCCCAAAAACGTTGCTTAACCTATTTTATAGGGTTTGTGCATTGTGCTCCTTGATGAAGTGGCCAGGCAGAACTCAAACACATGGGTCAGAGAGGAAACAGACTTCAGGTCAGGGACTTGTTCTGTGACCACCAACCATAAATGTGGTGTCCCAACCGTATCGCTTATTCTCACAAATTCTGGGGACCTTTCAAATCAGATATGCTCAGAATTCAGTTCATGATCAGCTAAAAAGCTACTTGACCGAGCCAAAGAAGATTTTGGTTTCACAGAATTTGAGGTCATCTTTATTCCCCCCCCAGAACTGAATTCTTCATAAGCTCCTTGGACCATTTCCCACAGGACCCTATTTCCAGGGTTTATGGCAAAGGGACTGTCACAAGTCTCGGGTTATAACAGTGTTTAAAAACTTGAACTTTGAGCCACATGGCATCATGGAAAATAAGTATATTCTTCGGACTGGAGAGATGGACTTGGTAGAAAGGAACGATAAGTTATCAAGAATTCAATTTTGAATTAATGGCAGATCTAAGAGGGTCATGCCATTTTTTTTCCATTTGATGATGTATTAGACATGATAGTAATTTAGTCATTTTCCTTCGTGCTGAATCCAGACCTTGGAATTCTTGAGAAGAGTTAAGCCACAGCCTAAGCCCAGGATTTTATATTAACTCAGAGAAAAGCACAAGATCTGATCCCAGGTAATGATAGGTCTTAAGAATCCTAGTTCTTCATTCATGACCTCATACTCATACAAAAATGTTTCTGTTTCTGTTCAGAAAGACAATGTAGTGGAGCATTCTGGAATTAAGTGCAGTTTTATGGTGTACTGGGATTTTCAGTCTCTGGTTTTCTGAATCCTACTATTAGAACATGCTCCTGAAAAAGACATTATTACCTTCCAGCTAGAAGACTTAGCATAGAACTAGATGAGGAGACACAGAAGAAATTCAAACTGAAATGAAGCTACTTCTTTTTCCTGGGAAGCGAATAGACTACACAAAGCCATCATGCCATCCTACAGATTTAGTTTTTGGCACAGTTTAAGTTTCTGCAATGTTTTTTACTGGTTGATATTAAATGATGATTATTAGGTTCTGAAAACAGAATAAACTAATGAATGGAGTGTAGCCATGAGGTGCCCCTTTCTTGGCTGAGCGAGTGATCCTGGGCTAAATCTTCCTTACTGTAGAAAAGATGCTGTCTGCTACTTAGTGCTGTTTTATAAATCTTGGATGACCAACTCCCCCAAATGTAAGGTCATTAATATTTCGATGAAATCCCTTATACTTGAGATATACAGTTGTAGTTCTTTCCTTGGCTTGTGTGAAGATGCTGCTACTTGGGCTTATTTCCCAAAAGTGTGCTGATGCGTGCCTTGTCCAGGGATGGCACTGTTCATGATCTGCGTAATGAAATGTGTGAGACTCGAGGAAATCCGTCTACACGGATGTGGGCTTTTGAGAGATCACTCTTCCTAACACATGCTAAATAACCTTGTCATGCCAAAAGGAAGTAAATAGAAATTGGTAGCATTGGACATCCCAACGGACAAGAAATATTTTTAATGTGGCATAAAACTTGGTTGGCCTTCTAAATCCCATACTAACTTTCTCATACCCCTTGGCCTCCTGTCTCAGCCTGCCCATAGTGTTTGCCACCTTATCTTTGTCACTCACAAACATTGCCTTGGGACACACAGGAGTGAACCAATTGGGTACTGAGTGATTTAGCTGGAAACTTTACCCTCAATTACGAATGATACTGAACAGCTCTTTACTGCCCCAAGAGACCCGCTATTTCTTTAGCCTCTGGATTTACCAACTTCCTACTAGAAATAGTGACACTAATAGCACAATATCTCTGGACTTGCCCTCACCCAGAATAATATATTACAAACTGCTATTGATTTTTTTAAAAGCAAAATGCTATTGATTTTCTTAGACATTGTAAAAATATCCTAAGATAACACTTACCTGCAGTAGATATGGCAGTCTCGTGTCTTCTCTAACAAAACTTATTCTTAAGACTTTTCAGACTCATTTCCAAGCCAAATAGTTTAGATTAAGTATTCCCTGGGAATTCCCCCCCCCCTCCGGGAATTCAAGCCCACGGTCCATTGTGGCAGCCTTGTCAATAATTAGAGGCATTTTCTATGTCATTCCTTCTCAACTCCTTCATAGAATTCACTTTCTGTTCTGGTCTCCTGGCCATCCTCCACCATCTGGGTGATTACTGTTTATCACAGGGTGCGGTAGAGCTTACAGTGGAAGACACGCACATTCAGCGGTGGTCATGGTGGTTATTGCTTCTCCTGTTTCCAGGTCCATTATTCTGCCCCTCACCTCCACCAGGTCATTAGAACTGTACTTGATTGGAGCCCAGGATTTGGGACCAATACTTAATTCAAATAGCAGGAGCTTGCTCACAAGCTTTAAGCTCAACCAGAAGCACAGCACTTTGAAAGTTACACAGGCCTTTGGTAGCTTTGTACATTTGCAAATTTACATGTGTTATTAGTTTATAACACTAATAACAGTTTAGTCATGAATCTATAGTATCAATATGGTGAATCTTAGAAATATTTTACAAGCAGCAGTACCTTGCTGCTATTACGCTTACTAATTTACACCCCGGTGTTAATAGTAAGCATTAAATACAGATTGTGTATGCATTACTTGTATTGTGTATATGCCAACTGTAATACTTAACCTCACTAAACAGCAACTAGAAAATACAGAAATTGTTTTAGTGCAAATAAGTCTTGGTCAATACAGATGATATGTGAATCTGCTAAGTGCTCTAATAGGTATTATATTTTGCCCTCTATTGCTTGTTTCACACTACAGTGCATGTTGTTTGCTAAGAAAAGAAAAAAACAATAAGTTACACTAATTTAAGATTAGGATTACAAGTTTGCATATATGCTGCTTGATACTCTGAAAGGTATTTTGTGGCTCAGTTATTTTATCTATACACATTTCACTTGGCTCTTCCCCACCCAGCATATACCTGTTCAAATAGCTTTCTCTTTCTTTTTTGTAACCTTGATTAAACCGCTTAATTAAACTTAGAACATTGTCAAGCCAGAATACCTCATTTTAACTGTGAAAAAACATTTTAAGAGATATGATGACATGATATGTTTTCTTGTATTTGATTTAAGCCACCTGAATAGAATTAAACCTAAATAAATGGTAAACTTTGACAGGCACTTTTCTTTTGTTTGAAAAAACATTTGATCATTGGCTCGCTTCTAACTTTGCTTTAAAGAGTTACAGACTTGGCGTCAATAAAATGCCTTATTATGTGAAATTGGGTAAAAGTCCTCTCACCCCTGTCTAGCACAAACTGGGATTAATTAAATATGCCTGAAGTTCTGGACATGAGCAGTATGTGCAGCATGTGCACAGCCTGGCCACCCAGGCTTTTCCTAAATCCATTCTTCGCATTTCAGTTCTTTTCGCTAAGTTTTAGACCAGGCCTTACTGACATTCATATCCTCATTTATCTGACCAGTATCTCTGGCCCACATTAATTTGAGTAATTGCTAAATACCCAGAAATAGAACAAGGCAGACATCACGTATTTGTGTATAATCTTACATCACAATGAAGATGTTGATAATTTCCTCATTTTTTATTCTTTTTACTAGACTATCTAAGACCACTTCATTTCAGTTCATTCCTTTTTTGCCCTATCCTCTACAAAAATAATAGATTAGGGTAAAAACCTTGGTATGAATTTAGCCAAGATCAAATTAATTCTACATGATCGTTCATTCCATAAAGGCAAATGTTAGCACGAGTAAGTACAGATAACTTTATGTCTATTCAAGTTATTATAGAAATTTAAAAACTATCAGAATTTTCTGCTCACAGTTACAGCCACTGTTTAATAAACCTATCATACTGTTCTCTGGTTAGTTTTAATAAGCACCACTTTGTCATTTCCTTTTTTAAAAAAAAAATTTGCCTGAGGATATGTGCACTTGCCTGAAAGAGAGAGAGAGAGAGAATGGGAAAGTACAACCCCATGGGGCAAGCTTGTGCTGCAACCCCTTCAGCTCTCCCTACTTTTGGGATTTGGGGTGCACATACATACACGCCCAGTGTGTTTTTCTTTTCTTTCTTTTTTTTTTTTTTTTGAGAGGTTTTCACTATAGGGCGCGTGCGCTCGCCAGACAGACAGAGAGAGACATAGAGACAGAAAGCGAGAAATCACCCCCCAGGGGGGATGGCCACGCTGCAATCCCTTCTCCTCCATTCTCCTCTCGGGATCCTGGGCACGCACGCACACGCGCCCGGCGTGAGTTCCAAGCCACCGGGTCTAGGACGCGAATCACGGTTGACTACGTGGGAGTCCAGCGACATAGCCATTATGCTAACTGCTGGTTCCCGCCCAGTGTGTTTTTCAAGCCACCAAGTCCCAGGCTCAAACCACATACTTGGCTGTGTGGGATCTAGACGCCTTAACCACCATGCTACCAGCTGGCCCTCAATTTCATTTTATTAAAAGTCACATGACATAGATGAGGCTGGGTCCAAACATAAGCATGGGGAAACTGCAAAGATACTACTGGTCTGCCTCAATTTCTGAATATCTACTTGGTTCAGGACGTTCTCTGACAATGGAGCTCTTCCTTTGTGTATGAAATGGGGATCAGCAGATGGCATAATAGTTACCGTCACTGGATTCCTACATAGTCAACCCAGACCCAGCAGCTTAAACTTATGCTGGGCGTGTGCGTGTGCGTGTGTGCATGCCCAAAATCCTACAAGGAGAAGAGATTGTGGCTTAGCCACTGCCCCCAAGGGGGTGATTTCTCACTTTTTGCCTCTCTCTATCTCTTCGGCAAGCACACACGCCCTATAGCAAAAATCACTGAAAAAAAAATTAAAACATTTGCATGAATTCTTTGATATCCAATTATAGGTTAATTTATCGTATTACAACTAGGTTATAAACATAACATTTAGCACAGAAACTAAATCATTTCAGAGAGGCACAGACTGCAGTTTCTGTCCTAACTCTTATCATATCCTGGCTGTGTGACCTTGGGCAAATTAATCTATGCATATAGAATATAGATCTCATAGTATCGACCATGAGGAGTTACTGAGAAGCTCAAATAGAATGGATGGAAAGCATTTCAGCCCGGAGTGTGGTGTGTGGCAAATACTCAGTCGTGGCTATTAGTATTAGTACTAGGGGCAAGGACTTTACACTCATCTCCTCCAAATACACCCAGCACAATCCCTTCCACATGATTGAATGCTAACCTTTGTGTTGATTAGTGAATGATTTAGCAGGAACTAATTAGTGAGAGATGAAGCAGATCAATTCAGTAAGAGATAATATGTAAGCCCTTCCTATGGCAGATTCATGAGGGTTCTGGTGCGGAAGCTGGCTGATGTGAGGAGGGTTTAGACTCAGTCTCTCCCTTCCTCTCTCTCTCTCTCTCTCTTTCTCTCTCTCTCTCTCTCTCTCTCTCATCTCAGTAGGTGAGAATGGGATGGTCGTCAGAGGCAAAAAGAAGAAGAGAGTGTGAGGAAGTCACAGGAGAAAAAGTCCTAGGGTTTGGCTGATGGTGGAAGCTGGAAGCTTCCACATCAGAGGTGCTGGACCTGACCCCTGCAGATTCTGAGTCTTGATATCAGCTCTGTATGTGGTGTGTTCCCACAAAACTCAGGTGGAAATGTAATGACTAAGAGCGGTAGGGCCTTTAGGAGTCTCTGCTCTGTGAAGGGATTCATGCAGTTCTGTAGAGCCTGGGTAGTTACCTGGACAGCAGGTGGCTATAAAATGAGGCCACTCCTCAAGTTTTGACCTTTTCCCACAAGACTGATTCCCCTTTCTTACCTCCGCCATGTTGTGATGCAACACGAGGCTCTCACCAGAAACCGAGCAGGGGCTGCACCCGTCATGAACTTTCTAGTGTCTGGGACTCTAAGAAATGAATTCCTTTTCTTTATAAATGATGCATCTCAGGTATTCTATTATAGCAACAAAAGAATAGACTAAAGCGGTATCTTAGGATGTATCTGAGAAGGAGTAATTACAAATATGTGTTTTGATGTGTTGCCAGTTGGGGAATTGCTGGTCCAAATATATATTGCTCGGATAGTGGGATTTATGGCAGCGACGTACGTGAAATGAGGTTGGTAGAGTTGGCCCTATCCTGAAAGATAATCATTCTGATTAGTCAAGAGGGAAGTCTCAGCTTAGTGATGGAATTCTACACCTTGCTTATTGACCAAAAACAAACAAAAAAAGCAACAGTATCTAACTAACATTTAATATCTGCTTGTTTGGATTGGATTTCTTTTGTTGTTACCTACTTTGTAGCAAGTCATCCTGGGCTTTTAATAGTGACATAAGATTCTCTTTCAAAATGAATTTATTTAAACGTGTTAAAGAATCCACTGTGTAAAAGCTATAGGAAAGATCTAAATATGTGAGCCTTTCCAGTTTGAAAAAAAAATGCATTTGGGGCTGGATGGTTGTGCAGTGGTAAAATACAGCACTCTGCAAGGTTGACCCCCATGGGAAAGTTTGAGGTTCGAATCCAGTCACCTCCCTGAGTGTACTGGGCAGCTATGTGCCCATGATCCAGGCTGACTAAGGGTGTTGTATCTCTCACTCTCTCTCGTGTGCAGGCTCACTTGCTATGTTTTTTCACTCCTGGGATAAATAAAAAAACTTTTTAAAAAATGCAGTAGATTCCACCACGTACACACACTTGTACCTAGAACTGGATTTGACTGTCCTCCTTCTAATCATTCTTCACTAACCAAATAGATAAATAAAGTACTGTTTGAGATAGAAAATCATCTCTGTTTCCATGAGGGACGTTTCCTCATTTCCTGTAGAAGCCCATGTGCAGATCAGCTGTCTCCATGTCGTCCTGGGGAATAATTTGAACTAGGGCAGGAAAGGTCTTGGAGTCGCTCAGTCCCACAGCTGGCTGTGCCGGGTAAACACGGAATGCAGAGAGCAAGCCCCATCCTACAGTTCTGAGAATGATTCCTCTTCTGTGAGTCCCTGAGGTTAAGATGCCTAGATGTCCTGGATATTTGTCATGTTTTTGTTTTTGTTTTTGCAAAGGAATTCTTTCTGATCAGCAGTATGTTTCTTTGTCCACCTTTCCCTCCCACCCCCGCGAATCTACTCACTATGACCAAAACAGCATTATTATTTTTAAGACTTGAAATCGTTTATTCTCAGAGAAGGGTGGAAGGTTACAAGGAAGGAACAGTGGCCAAAGCCCATGTGCCTTGAACCTCACCCAGGACGGCCTGGACAAATGCCAGTAAAACAAAAGACTAGTCAGACCAGGGTGTTTTCACAGCTGGTCGTGTTTGGGGACAGCATGGGTGGGGAGGAGGATGCCGCGGTGTCAGCCTCTGTCCAGTAGCATCGTGATATTCAGAAAAAGGGAGGCAGAGAGCTTCTAAGGGGCAAAGCGTCTAAAGGATAGACTCTCCTGCAGTGAGAGGTCCCAAGAAGCACAGCATACTGAAAAGGAGCCCACCGAGAGCTGAGAACTTAGCTGCTTTCCAGCCTTGATCTTCACTGAGCATTTGCTCCATCCAGGCCCAAGAGGTCTCATGTAAGGGGAACTGGAAGGAGGTCTAAGACTTCCTTTCACAATAACTTCCCCCACCAACAGTGTTGTGAGTATAAAACTAACTTGCCACACATCAGAGGCGCAGTTGGACTACAGCAGGAGATCTGAAATGACCTCAGAAGGTACCCAAAACCTTAGATGGGTGTGCATGTTTTTCTGGCAGAGGACCCATAACTTTCATTGAATTCTCAAAGGGATCTCTGATCCTAAGAAGTTATGAACCACTGCCCTTCGAATGCTTATCCGTATGAACTAAATGTTAAGTAAACAAGGATGGCTAATTTAAGCTAGCGCTCCTTCCTATCACGAACTAAATGTTAAGTAAACAAGGATGGCTAACTTAAGCTAGCACTAAAAAGCCTTGGGTCTTCCTATCATGAAAATTAACTCACTGAATTAATTGTGCATTTGTTCAATATAGGTTCTCTCTTTAAGAGGTAAGGTTGAACAAAACAAGGAAAAAAAGAAAACAGTCTCTGTGGTACAGTCAGTAGTATGCCAGACTGTAGAGCTGAAAGCCATATGCCAACCCCAATTGGAGTTGGAAAACATGCCAGGCACATGCGGAAAGC